GTGGTATTGTGTTTTTAAAAAAAAAAAAAAAAAAAAACCAACCCCCCCCCCCCCCAAAAAAAAACCCCAACCCAAAACAAACAAAAAAAAACCCCAACCAACCAACCAACCCACCCCACCACTTTTTGCAAACGGAGTGCTCAGCTAAGCTAATGGGGAACGAAGACACTGAAGGAAAACTGTAAGGATGTAAGAGAAAGGTGTATAGTGTTTGAAGCGGAAGGGAGAAGGCTTAGCACAGTACCACCAGTCAGAAGGAACTGGGGGAAGTCTGTCCAGCCAGAAGAAAGACTGAGGTCGCATCAGCGTGGCTGTGCCAGACAGACGTGATCTCCTGCTGTCATGTACTTGGAGCCCAGCAGACGAAGGGTGATACCTGGCTGTGATCTGTAGGAGACTGCCAGTGTGGTGCTGGGGCCTGTGAAGCAAACAGCTGACAGACCTTCACTCCCCTGTTTAGGCGTGTCCCTCCACATCTGCAGTTCCCCATCCTTCCTTCTGCTGTTGATTCTGCCTGCTAGAAGCAGCTCCAGCTGCTGCCTCTTTGCAGGTTTGCCTTCGAGGCCGTCTGAATTTAAGCATCTCTCTGGCCGGGGCTGGGTGGGGGCTGCTGGTCTGTACAGTCCTGGGACTAGAGGAAGGGTATGGGGAGGAGGCGGGAGCAGCCCCCAAAGCGTCGATCTTTCAGCTCCAAGAGCCTGGGACAGGGTGTGGTTCTGCTACAACCGCTTGTGACTCGTGTGCAGTTAGCAGATGTTCATGTTACCAGAAACTTTTGCATTTGAAGTCAAGTGTGGGTGCAAGATGCAGCTACCTTTCCCAGCCCACTGCAGGAGGAGTTCCTGTCAACCTTCTTCTGTTTGTTTTGTGTTTTTGCAGGTTGTGGGCTGCTCATTGCAGAAAGATACAGCTGAAAAAGGGTTAGCATCTTTCCATTCAATTTATGTCCTGAACTTTTAAGATCCTACTGTTGCTTTTTTGGTTTTGTGTTTTGGGGGTTTTTTAGCGTTAGGCCATTATATACATTCCATGGGGAGGTAGAGATTATAGGGGGAATAAAAAAGAAAAATAGTAAGCTCTCATTACAGATATTGTAGGGACAAAAGGTACCGTTTCATTTACATAACTGGAAGAACTCTGTATAATTCAATAAAAAGAGGAGGAGGCTGAATTTACAATCTTTTCAGTATGGCCTCACTGAAGGACAGATAAAGGTGGTATTAACCATAGGAGCTGCGGTAAAAAGCGGCATTTATTTTTCCTAAAACCCAGCTTATTTTAGAAGTAGTTACTGAAAATTTGTTACAAGTGGTTGGGACTTCGAGCAATATAAATAATTGATCAGTTTGTGTGTCTCGCATTTATGGTTGCTGATTGCTAACTTGAGCATTTTTACAAGTACGTGCAAACCCAACACAACTCTCTTACCTGCTCTATAGGTAAAGCACTAGACTTGCCCCCAGTAGTCCCACCTTGCCTGTAAGATGTTAGCGTTCTCTGTACTGGAAAATTGACTTGGGAAAGCACAGTGGTATAATGGCCAGGTATTGTTTCGGCAGTGTTCTCTGTTTGAAAGTTGACTCTTGCTCCAGAGTAAAAATTACTTTGGGTATTTGAGCAAATTTACTTTGCTGAATAATATCAGTGTTGCTCTAGAACGTGTTCACGCAGGAAATTATACCATTGTAGTTTCGTTTTTCAGTTTTCCACAGTAAAGGGTTTTCAGCTCTGAATACTCAAAGCAGCTGAGTAATGGGAAGAACGAAGTGCACTAGGAAGCAGGCAGCTCATGGTGGCAAACACCTAACTAACGTTGCAGTTCTGGTTTGGTGCCTTTGGCTTTTTTTAACCCCACTCATCATAGGTTTGGGTTTGTTGTTCATTTTGGGGGTTTTCTTAGTTAACTGACTAAGAGGGAATTTCTACTTTAAAGAGTGAAGGGAACTGCCTATTGTTTGTTTGCACCTTTCAGCTTCACAAAATGTTGCTATTTTTATTCAGATGGCTCATCGAATCATGTTTACAACTATCAGCCATGTGATCATCCGCGTCAGCCTTGTGATAGCTCATGCCCATGTGTAATTGCTCAAAACTTCTGTGAGAAGTTTTGTCAGTGCAGCTCAGAATGTAAGTAAAGCATTTAAAAGCTATCTGTAATTTTCTTTCACTGTCCCAACATCTAACTCTGTGCTAGCAGTCTGTCCCTACTTGCAGGAGCAGCAAACGGTGTGAGAAGGGAGCACGTGTTCAGTTTAATTTGGCCCTCTTAATTAGCCATTGAATGAAGTCAGAAACAGTCTTCAGACTTAAAACTGAGGAAGACTACAGTAAAATTAGGGAAGGAAAGAATTTATAGTACTTCCAAAAATCCTACAGAGATAACAATGGCTATGTTTTTTTTAATGTTCTGATATGCTGTAATCTGCACTGTCTTAATTTTGCAGTGTACTTTTTTCATACTTACCCTTTTTGTTTTCCATATGTTCCTTTGTAGGCCAGAACAGGTTTCCTGGATGCCGTTGTAAAGCACAATGCAACACTAAGCAGTGTCCGTGTTACCTAGCTGTACGCGAATGTGATCCTGACCTCTGTTTAACATGTGGAGCAGCCGACCACTGGGACAGCAAAAATGTTTCTTGCAAGAACTGCAGCATTCAGAGAGGATCCAAAAAAGTATGTAGACAGTGGCTATTGCCTTGGTTTTGAGGCATTTTTGTATTTTTTTCATGCCAGAGAATGGAAATTCTTTGCTCTCATGCTCTCATGTCAAACAGGAAGAGAAAAACAAAGGAGGAGGTATCTGTCACTGAGGTTAGCTTGCTTACGTGCTGCTGTTAAGCTCTGTACATTTTGTTGTGTACCAACCAGTCAGTGCCTTCTGGGTAACACTGCAGCAGAGCATCTCCTTCTCCCCATTCAGGCTTCACTTCTCGTTTGCAAGCAGGCTGCTGTTTGAAAAGTGAAAGCTTGTCAGCCTTTCCGCAGATCAGTGTAAGGAAGTTTGGCTCAGACGTAGATATTGGCTATTTCTTTCTTCATTTGTTGATTTGAATGCACAAACTTGTAGACAGTCTACCAAAGATATCTGGAAAGTCCATTCATCTCTGTTCAATAAATAAATAGATAAACCAAGGCTATCTCTTATAAATAGATAGATAAACTAAAGTTTATTTCTTCTGTGTCATCTTACAAACTAGCTCAGTCAAATACTGAGCTAATCAGTAGTGGGGTCCTGTCTGCAGACCTTTCTAATTTGAAGTCCTTAGTGTATATGTTTTTAATGTAACACCCTCATTTCAAGGTTAATCTAAAATTTTTACTGTTTTTCAAGTACTTCATGTGGTTTTTCTTTCTCGTACACCGTCTGATCCACAAGCTGTAATTTTAGTGTGCATTTGATAATTAGAAGAATCCATGTTTGTCTTCTCTACTGGAGTCCCTGCATATATTTCATTAAGTGATACGGCTAAAAACAAAGCAAAAAGCCAGAACAAAAACCAAATCCAAGCCAGGCATGTCTAAACTTTGTGTTTTCCTCTCCCACAGCACTTGCTGTTGGCACCTTCAGATGTGGCAGGCTGGGGAATTTTCATCAAAGATCCTGTACAGAAGAATGAATTCATCTCTGAATATTGTGGTGAGGTAAGGATGGAGAACGCTGGTTATGCAGGAGCTTAATTGGTGCAGTTGTGTGTTGGCTAGGGACCAAGAGATTGTCTCTAACTTGGAATCATGTTTAGACAGAGAGGTGTGATTGACAGAGTATACAGCTGCTGTTGTCAGAGGCTCCAAACCCGGGAGCTAGGTGGTTGAATCATCACAAAAAAGTTTGACATAGGTTCTTGTGAGAAAGAGAGGGTGGAATGTCATTTTTATCTTAGATGTAACTTCAGTTCAGACGTGCCTGGAATTTGGTGCAAAATCATTTAGCATAGTACTAAAATTCAGCAGGTGCTTGCACTAAATTACATTCTATAGTAATAAAACCCTGAATCAGGTATGCAGTCTTTATTTTTTTTTTTTTTTTTTTTTTTTTTTTGAGGTGAGAAGCAGTTCTTGCTTTCCTTCTCTTCTGAAAGAACAACTTTTCTGCTAGGAGCAAATGATGGTTGTCTGATAAGCGCAGAATGCTTGCTGAAAACACTGCTTTATGTTTGGGAAGATTTTCAGTCCCAGAGAATGAAAAACCTCACCTTTCTTTCAGAATGTCTGGGGTTTTGGCCTTAGGCTGCTATGGTTACAAAAGGGAAGAGGCGATCTCTTACAAGTACTATTTCTTTCAGATTATCTCTCAGGATGAGGCAGACAGAAGAGGAAAAGTATATGACAAATACATGTGCAGCTTTCTGTTTAACTTGAATAATGGTATGTATGTACTAGTCACGACCCTTGCTGCATAAATAAAACACGTATGATAATACGGATAATAAAATACGTGTGCTCACCATTTTGTTCAGCCCTGTTCTCTTCCAGGCAGCAGGTGACATTGAAAAATGTATTCTTCTGCACATCTTTTCCTAGCAATGTGTGGATTCCTAATATTGATAGCGAGTGTGGGGTGGTTTGGTTTTTTTTCCCCCCATATGCTAGTCAACTACATAGTAGCGATGGAGCCTATTACACAAGCCAACTATATAAGTTGAGTAGAATGTCATGGGGTTAAACTACGTGCAAGCGTAAGTTAAAGTAGCCTAAAGAATTTAAAAGGCTTGCTAGGTATTATCTGAAATAATTTTACTGAGACTTAAATTAGCAGTGTTAGGATGGTAATCTTAATTTTGTGTCAGGTGGAAAAAAAGCCACGCAGAAATATGGGTACTGCCACTCGAAGAGAGAAACACAGTATGACTGCACTCTGTCAAGTGCGAAATGCTAGAAAATAATTGAAAGGAGGGAAAAAAGCTGCTTTACATCAATGTGGAGTTAGCCTATTTATGGAGTTGTCCTTGTGGAATAAGGGTAGAGAATCTTCACATGAGAAACTAAGGCAGTGCCAGTGTGGCAGGAGATGAATGGAAAGCACATGTGGGGCAGCAGGAGTATTTTGAGTCTTGTAGAAAAATAAAGCTGTTGTCAGATGATGTGCCAGCTCTTCCATGTGGGAAGCTGAGCAGTTATCTTTTCCAGCCACTAAAATCCAAGCACACTGGGTATTAAACACTAAAATTTGTTTGTAGGTGACCTATCCATCATTTGTGGGTTTTGTTGGTTTTTTTTCCCCTTCCTAGATTTTGTGGTTGATGCAACACGCAAGGGCAACAAAATTAGATTTGCAAACCATTCAGTAAATCCCAACTGCTATGCAAAAGGTAAGTTTTAAGTTTACTTGCTTTTATCAATGTATGAAATGCTGTGGGATGCTTATTTAGAATATACATTTTATCAGCATTTGTGTTAACAGAAGCTTAAATTTCTTTTAAACAGTTATGATGGTTAATGGTGATCACAGAATAGGAATATTTGCTAAAAGAGCCATTCAGACTGGTGAAGAACTGTTCTTTGACTACAGGTTGGTAGATGGATTTTGTCATTTCTTCCTCTCTAGACTGGATTAGCTTTCAGTGTTTCTGCCCAGCTCGTAACCAGCTGCTGTGCCTGCCTCCTTACCGCCTCCGGTCTCAGCAGCTGAGCAGCAGTCCCCGTGTGGTTTTTATTTTATTTTTTTTAAGCCAGGTACCAGAGTAAGACTGACTTAAGCAAAGCAGCTGGTTAAAGAGCCTTGCAAACAGCAGCTTGTATAGAGAAAAGCTTAGTGACACATGGGGACCGATCTGCACAACCATTCACAGGCAGACCTGCACGTTAACCTCGCTGTGGCGGGGTTCCCCAGGTACCAGTACAGGGTGTCTCTCCCAGCGTTCGGAAATGGGCAGGAAGTACCCTCGTGCTACCACAGCGAAGCGCTTGCTACGGCTGGGTTCACACTTCCCTCTAAAGCCATCTCACTCCCAGAAAGCTAAGCTCTCCAGTGATGATACTGCCAGCGTCAGCCTTCAGGCGTGCAGCTGCTTTCCACTAGCTAAGATCAACTTTAGCATGGTGAGATTCAAGGTGAAAACGTGTAGAATTGTAGAGTTTTGTTTCCTCTTTGTCAGATTCCTCTAAAAGCCGTTTCTTCAGTGGTCAGCATTGTTCTGCGTCAGCAAATTCACACCCGGAATAAAGGCCTGCAGGAAATGTGAGAGTACTGCAGGCTGTGGTGCTGTGCTGCTGTGCCAGAACAATGAAGCTGAAATGTTCAGTCTTACTGGGTTTTTATTTTTGGTTTTATTTTTTTTAATTTCAGATATAGCCAAGCTGATGCCCTTAAGTATGTGGGCATTGAAAGAGAAATGGAAATCCCTTGACACCAGCTACCTCTTCTTTTAAACAGCTGCCTTATCTTCAGGAATTTCTAGTACTGTGGGCAATTTTAGGAAAATAAAAAAACGATGCAATTTGAAATTCTGTATTTGCAAAGTACTGTAACAGTAATTTATAGTAATGAATTTTTAAAAAACCCAACTTTTTATTGCCTTCTCACCAGCTGCAAAGTGTTTTGTACCTATGAACTTTTGCAATAATGTGGTGTGGTACATTTTTCAACCTTGAATAAAGGATACTTGAACTTCTTCATTTTTACTGGAACTGAGTTGGAATTTTGTGTCGGCCAGTTGAGGAAGAAGCAATGTGAACACTTACTGTCAGATTCTGAGCAAAGGTGGCTCCGTACTTGCCTACTCCTGTTACTGAGACTTCAGGGCACATTAAGGTTAATGTGAAGAGCCAGTGGTCAGGGTGAGTGCAGAACTCCAGCATACAGCACCAAGGTGGGATAGTCGTGGTCTTGCAGTTTTTATGCACCCTTGGCAGGAAGCTATGTCCCTTCTCTCTGAAGTGATGGCTGCAGTTTAGAAACCCTTCCAGCTGCTCCCGCAGCTCCCCTCTTGTCACAACATCAGCTGCACTTAGCAAACGTAGAAAAAACTTGTTTTCTTAGTCAGAAAACTCAGTCCTTAGTCCTCACAAGGGGTCTGTCCGTTAGCAGTAGAGGCATTTAATGGGAGGGGAAAGCTGCCCCCCCACCCCCCCTACCCCAACACACTAGCTGTGATTTCTGGGACAAACTCTACTTTTAAGACAAAGTTGTGGAGCAAGGTTTGCGTCTATCTGTCTGCCGCGTGGTTTTATGGAGCAGGTGCTGTGGAGCGCTTCTCTCTGTTCCCTCAGCGTGGAAATAACACTGCGGAGGCCACATGTACAGGGGTATTCCCGTACACTGGAACCCTCAACTGCAGCTTCTCCGAGGCAACAAACTGCATAATGAATGCAGTGGTAATTACACACATTTCTCCTCTGCATCTCTTGTTTATCAGTAAGCAGCCACTGTTTTGCTTGTACAAGGCTACCACAGTGTTTATTAATATTATTACTATTATTCATAGCTGAGTCTGAACAGCGCGGCCCGCTGCTTAATGGAACACAGGGCTGTAGTCACAGCAGCAGGGGGGAAGGGCTGGCACAGGGACTGGTTCTTGCAGAATTCATTCGGGCAATGCTGTCGGTGCTGACTGTGCCCCTTCTGCCCTGCTCAGCTGGAGCCAGGCTCTTGGGTACAGCAGGTGCCATCTTGCTCTCTGGTGGCCTGCATGGCAACTGAGGCTTCATGCTCCTCCTTTTACTCAGTGGGGGGGAGGGGGGCAGGAAAAAGTCCCAAAGTCAAAACTTCTTTTCTCCTGCTTGGGTACAGGCATGGCTCTTATCTGAAGCAGGGTTGACAGTGGATGGGTTTGAAACACAGAGCCCTGCAAGAGACAGCACACAAAGGGTAACAGAGCAGCGCTGGGTTAACCAGCGATGGGTTACAGCTGGGCTTTGAGAGGCAGCTCAGAGCAGGTTACTGCTGGCCTTCTGCATGTGAACATTCTTCAGTCTGCTTCTCCATCACTGCCATCCTGCTACAATTAAAAAAAAAAAAAAAAAAATCTACTGGCAGCAAACTTCGTGCAAGGGTTCACAAAAATGAAATGGCATCTTAAAAAAAACCACCCAAACCAGCGAGCCTGAAAAGCAGCACAAGCTCCATTCCTCTAAATTTCAAAAAGCAGTTTGAAAATTGAACAAGCAAGATGCTTCTCTTACCCCTGCTGGCAGTCTTCAGCACAATTAAAGTTCTTTCAGAACAGGAACAGCAAACGTGCAAAATCTCAAGTGGGGATGAGACTTCCCCCCCATTTTCCAAACCAGTTTGGATCACAGCTAATACTGCTCCATAATTTTATTTATTTGTTTTTTAAAGCTCATTTTTGTAGGTCAGAGCTCACTTATAGCCATGAAAAATCAGTGTCCCTCAGAAAAAGAGTATCAACACAAAACCTGGCTCCTTTCATGGCAGAACAGGCACCAAACGCATCACAAATTCTAAGGGGAAAAAAGGGTTTGGCTGCAGAAATTGTGTTCTTTTCACCATCAAGAATAGAAAATATAAATTACCACAATAGACCTGCAAGGATGGTAGCGGTTTGCTTGTAGCATGTGGAAAGCTGCTACTCGTTTTGCATGTAACAAACACAAACCATTGCAATAAGAATGCAATGAAGCCTGCTCAGTCAATATGTGTGTAGTAACACTCAAACATATTTTAACTGCATTCACAAATTGCATTTAATGGGAATTAATCTCAATTTTCTGTTCTAGTCAAAGAAATGAGCAGCCTAAAACTTATTATACACGAGATGCATTTTATAGCATCCTGAACAACATTAAAAACCGCTCCAATTTCAGCTGACCAAGTATCTTCACATATATTCTACATATTTTCTGTTCTTGTAAAATCATCACAACTTTCTTTTCTTTTCAAAGTTCAGACATTTCCTCTTAAAAAAGAACTCACATGCACATTTGCTGATAGGTGACAATTAATTTCTTCAGAGGAAAACATGTGCTGAAATCACCAGAAAAACAGGGAAAGCAAGGAAAAGCAAAACCAGTTTCTGTAGCTTTCATAACCATTATAATTTTTATTTACATTTAGAAAGATAAGTCATGAAACTTAGAACAATAAAACCAAATGCAACTTGTACAGAAATCTTTTAATTTTTGTTTTATTTATCACACATTAAAAAATGAAACACACTATACAAATGGTTTTTCATAGCAGATTACACATGGGTCCATTCCAACTCGCTCTCAAAGTGCTGCCAACATCTCTAAGCGCTGCCTGCTATGGCAGCTGTTCATCGTATAGCCAATGTATTGATTTAAATGCAGTAGCATGCAACCCTTGACGGAGAAGGGTTTGATTCCTTTCTGTTCTTAAATTAGGTTAAATGGCATCGGTGTCCATATTTACATACTTGAAATGTATCAATCCTGAGCAGTTCTGATGTAAATCTGAGACTGGCTGGGGGGGGGCCTGGGCACATGCAACCCTTGACGGAGAAGGGTTTGATTCCTTTCTGTTCTTAAATTAGGTTAAATGGCATCGGTGTCCATATTTACATACTTGAAATGTATCAATCCTGAGCAGTTCTGATGTAAATCTGAGACTGGCTGGTGGGAGTCCTGGTCTCAGTTATTAAAAAGGGAGGTCCAAATGGCAGCAGGGCGGCTGCTATGAAGTTCCGTTGCTTGCTTGCTTTCCATCACATACCTAGTTGCCGAGTGTCACACAGTCAAGTAATTGCTAATAAAAATGTTAAGCCAAGTAACTGTAGGTGTCCTTCTCACCATCTACGCGTTCCAAGTACTCCTTCTCAATCAGAATGTCGATGCATTTCTGTGGGAGACACAAACACAAGCAGTCGGACCCTGGCAGAGAAGCCCGCTCTGTGGTCGCTACAAACTCTGGACAATTTTGGCCGCGGAGTCTGACGCCAAGCAGAGGACGGGCGTAGGCAAAGGGCACGAACCATGGCCATTCGCTCTCCCGTTTCTGACCACATCCAAGCAGAGGATGCACTCATCCACTCAACCGAATCACGCTTACTTGATGCCGTTCCAGGGTGGCAGCTGGGGGATCAACGCATCATAAGACGGCACGCAAAGAGTTAAACCGAGAGGCAGCAGAGTGTAAGGCTGCCTCTGTCAGCACTGGTGCCAGTCTGTGCAACTGCTCTCCACGGCCTGGTTTCTGCCCCACCTGCCCCTCGGCTGAGGCTGTAAAAACCACGGGTGGGACCACTGGACAAACTGATGAGGAAACCGTAATTAAATGCAATGCCCCCTCTCCGCAACATCTTTATTCTAGCAGAGATCGGGAAACTGCTCTGCTGAGCCAGCCCACAAGCAGTGGTGGTCCCACAACTGGGAGAGCAAGAGCAAGAGCTAAGCCTGGAGCAGGGGCTGCTGTAAGCTGGCACTGATGTGAACAGATGCCACCAAGCTACTACTTTACCACTGCCAACAATACAAAGCATGTGTGTTATTGTAAGAGAAACACGGTATTTCTGGTTAAAATATACTTATTTACAAGTCAAAAAAATCTGTCTGTACCCATCCCACCTCCTTAGCTTCCCTTTCAAGTTCAGAAGCATGTATTTCGTCTATCTGTGTCCTCCTGGTCTCCTGGAATACAGGTTCAGAGGTATGGTTCTCACCTACCTTAATGACCGGAACTCGTGGCTTGAACCTTGAGGACAGCTGTGTTAGCACTTCTCCAAGCAGTTGCTGGTGTTTTAGAACCTTCCTCATTTTCATGATTCTCACAATAGCAGCCTGCACAGCAAAGTCGGAGAGGTGCGCTTAGGAGCAAACTACTTGTCCCTCTGGATAAAGCCACCTCACTTCCCCAGCAGATCACATCTGCGAGCGCAGAAGCGCCGTCAGAGCAAACTCGAGTACCAGATGGGGAGAAGAATGCCCACAAATGTCAAACTACTCACGCAGGCTTTGAGAACTCAGATTCTACACAGCATGCGGTCATCAGAAGTGGTTCTGACACAGGAATTTTAAGAACTGCTCTGGTTATGGTCAGTCACAACGACGGTACCAACTGGTACCGAGAGCAACATGGAACCACTGACGTAAGAGAAAGCCTTCGTTACGTATTTAACCGTGCTGTGACTCTCTCTTAGCAGCACATCTGTATTTCCTTCCCCTGCCCCTTTGCTTTGAGAAGTGGATTCCAGAGGAACGGACAGAAAACCACCGTTAAGTTCCTGCTACCTACGTGTGAGTAGTTTTCACCCGGACAGCGGCCAGGTGAGTGCGTGCGCCCACGGAACCCACACATGCACTCCCACGATGGCAGATGTGAAGAACAGTGTCCTGCCGTGCCTTTTCTACATGTTCTGTTACAGATTCCAGTCGCCTTCAAGAGTCAACACACGCTTAGCTCCTACAGAGTGCATGGCAATGGCGTGTTGCCTTCTAACAAAAATTAAGAAAGCCCCACAGGAAGCTTCATTACAGGATTACAAAGCTGTAACTCTACATTCACAGCGTGACAGCATTCTGCAACCCAAGTCACCTGAATCAGTAGTTTCCTATCTTCCTCTATGTTTTTGTGTGTGGTTTCTTGCTCCTGCTTCTGTTCGGTCTTCATTGGCACATTGATGTTCACCCTTAATTTTTTGCTGTAAAGAAAAGCAGACATTAGTTAAACAATTAGCCTGTTTAAAAACCAATCAAACAAACACACCCCCGCC